GTAACCTTGCATTACCATCGACGGAACAGCGACTGATCCTCGAGCACTCCGGATACACAAGTAGCTGCAGAAAGTCACATCACAAAGTGAGGAAACAGCCATGGTGCCGCCCTGCCGCCCTGATCAATGTCAAGAGCAGAGGCCCGTGCTACTCGAAGCGAAGATATACACCACTAAAACCAAATTCGTCAGTCAGTCTAAAAGAACGTAATCACAAAGTAGAGGCAGCTGAGTGATGGTAGAGAGGCCGTAAGTTGGCGGTGCTACATATCCTGCAGAAGTCGAAACAGAAATCAAAACAGCCTATAGCAAGACCCACAAATCAAAAATATCACAGACAGCCAGAGCAAATAGTACGGAGATGAAGCTCCGCGGCAAAGCGTACTCCAAAGTACATCAGGCTCATCACTGTTGAGCACGACCATCAGAGCGTAGCGCCGCAGAATCACAGAGAGCTTGCACGCTTCTCAGAAGTAATGAGAGAGGGGGATGATGTGAGCTTCCAGTTATATGCCATGTACGGTGCCTTTCTTTCTTTTTCTTTTCTTTTTTTGTTTGTAGACATGAGACTCAAAAGCAGAGCCCAACGTCTGGAGGAGGGAACTCGGACACCCAATCCAACACTACCCGAAGGGAGGCCCCCAAGAAAGATCAGCAGCCCAGAAAATCACCCGCCAAAGTTTGTGAAACACGAAAGGCAGATTAAATATCCAAAATCTGAAAAAATACATAGCAGGACCACACAGCACACAGACCCGAAATCCCAGACCCACCCCCCAAAGTTCCCAAACTAATAAGTCTGTAACTAGGCTACCAGAGTGGCCCGGGGTCACTTGCCCGGCCGGGCCAAAAAAATAAAAATAAAATAATTATTTTCAAATTTTATTTTTTATTCTACATTTGCTGAAGAATTTCGATGTGACCCTGAGGCAAAAGTTGTTCAGTTTATTTTTCTGCATAACATAGTTTTTTTTTCGGATTTTTTKGATTTTTTTTTTTTTTTGGCTGGGACCTTCCTTGGTCCTTGCACGGGCCGGCCACGCGGGACCCAGGCGGCCCGGCTGGTAGCCTAGGTTTGTAACAGAGTGCTCAAAATACAGGCTCCGAATCCCAAAATGAAGTACATAACAGAGCCTCTCAAATCCACCCTCCAAACAAACAGAAAAAAAAAGTACAGGGGCCAAATAGCCAATCATAACCCAGATTGGTTATTTTCCGCCCTCTCTTTCGAGAACTGAGAGATGCAGATGCAAGAAGTCCTATTACACCGTCGACACCAGATTCCGCCGGGCTCAATAAAACAAACAAGGTCATCCATCCATCATTCCAAGCGGTCATCCATCATTCCAAGCCCAGCCCCAGGGATAGACGAGGAAAAGCAAAATTCGACGAGGGTACAGAGAAGAGTAGTCCTCATCTCCTGAGTATTCCACTTTGAACCCGACGAGGCTGCGGCGTAGTAGCATCACTCGATGCGAAATCGGAGGAGAGTTGTCCTCATTTGTCCTTTTCTTTTCTTCTTCTTCTTCTTCTTCTTCTTTTTTTTCTTTTCTTTTTTTTTTTTCTTTTTTTTTTTTATTGTCCTCATTTCCTTAGAATTCCATTTTGACTCTAAGGAAACCTCTACAAGAAAGGGGTCCACACTCCCTACAGGAAAGGGGTCCACACTCCCCACAATGGACATGGAGCCAGGACCGTAAGGACCTGTTTTTTTTTCAAAACACAAACAACTCCATGAGAAATTGATGGAGAAGTTGGAGAACAGGTTGCTGTCAAATGCACGCAAAGAAGAGAAAAATGCAGAAAAGTGAAAGCCAGCAAGGCTGAGGGTCAGAGCAACAAAATCTAGCCCCACACGAAGAAGGCTGTTTGTGAAAACAGCTGGAGATATCAGAAGTGAGAATGCTGACATGAGTAACAAAAAGTCAGGTAGCAGGCATAGGTGAGGAAGTTTCTTCGCATATTACTCTTATTTTTGGGTCTAGTAGGCATCAGGGCATGATCCCTCTATACATCCCTTTGAATGGCCATTTTGCGCTACACACAGCCTTTTTTTTTCTTTTTTTTTTTTTGGATCTATTCTAATCGTGGGGAGCAACACATGCCGGGAACTAGGGTCCCATATGAGAGTTTTACAGAACGTGGTTTAAGGTACTGGGGCCATTACCCGGCTTCGGCTGAGATAACCTGACTTAGTCTGAGAGACACATCCTACTCTATGGTAAACTTTAGGCACCGGTACATGCCAGTTATCGGCCGCAGGCCCTTTTCAAAGGCCGCGGTACATGCCAGTTATCGGCCGCAGGCCCTTTTCGAAGGCCGCCCACCGCCGATTCATTTTATCTACGGCGCTTCGCCTCCTTAAATTTTGAAGAGGCTTAAAACAGGTTCTCCAGTTGGCGGCGAACATGTACTGGTGGTTCAAACGACGACCAGCACGTTTGCCAGCCCCATGTTTTCAAAGACGCGGTCGTGCACATGCCGCCTTCTTTGGGAGTTGGCCTACGAGGGCAAAATGGCTGGCGGCGCCAGCCAAAAGACTGGCCGCCTTTTTTTTTTTTTTTTTTTTTTTTTTTTTTTCGGGCAGGGCATTTCCAAGCCCAGCAAGGGAAGGGTACGAAGGTGCAAGTTGCAACTGCGGTTAATCATCTGCAAGGTAAACCACATACTTGCACGTGTATCGATTGCAGCTATGCGGAATCTGGGATTTGCTGAGCTGGACACTCTGCATTCTTTGTTTGAATCTCCCTTATCTAAGAGCATACTCACACACTAGGACGTTTTTTAAAACGCTCTGGACGTGATTGCCGTCAGATTCATTCACGACTGGCTGAAATTGTGCTCAGATGCATTTCGAAAAAGTGTTAGCGTGAATATCATATGCCCTCCCTCCTCTGTGGGATTTTCTGACTCCTATTGCAGCAAGAGAAGAATTCAGTATTACAGTACTATTACTACTACTAAACCACCAGTACTTCCTACACTCCTACGCGATTTTAGCAAACGTACCGGCCACCACAGGAGCGTCCAAATTCATCCAACTAGAAACGTTTCTACTCTATTTTTTTCCGCGGCCTATCAGCTGGGCCAAGTAGCGGTGGTTTAAATTGGACTAGTCAACCGCCACGCGCAATCCTGATGGAACTAATAGGTATTCAAGGGGCCCTTTTTTTTTGGATGCAATGGAAGGGCGCGCGTGGTAATGTTTGGCACCTTGCAATTCTTTTTCTCACAGCTTTGCCATTCTGTGCCATCGCAGTTCGAAGCCTCAATATATCCGAACCTGCACGTCGAGGCTCTTGCCATGGGCCTGTTGAAATGTACCACTCAAGGCCGACCATTCTCTGTCCACTCGTGCAGCAGCCTCCAATTTATACTGGGTCCTGTGGGCCCCATAACACGTAGTGATTCATGCACGTGGTTATAACCACAGCGACAACTTGCAACTGTGGTTAACCTCAGCTGAGCTGCAAGTCGCAACTGAATAAACATCCCAGATTGATATGGTGGATGGTCAGTAAACACGTGCAACTGTGGTTAACCTTGGATTGAAGGGTCCCACTCCAGCTATGCCACGCCCTTTACACACGCAACAGACACGAGGCGCACGCGTGCACGTATCGTACAACAGGCGGATGGGCATTCTACGCAAGTGTACAACGCCCTTTTTCGCCCCAAAAAACACACTTATCGCTGTTTTTTTTTTTTTTTTTTTTTTTTTTTTTTGAACCCGCTGACTGAGGAGGAAGGAGGGGCTCCATCCATGGGATGATCCTACCTACCTAACATGAAATAGTGTGGTTTTATCTAGTACACGAGCGGGATGGTTTAGCATAGTACACAGCCATGGCAAAGTTCCAGATAGTACACTTCGTACATAGTACAGCCGTGGCATAATTCTGCCTAGCACATCCGAGGCATCCGTGGCATAATTCTGCCTAGCATAGATATACCCGAACAACATGGACATAACTCAGTACGGCACAAGCTAGGGTCATGCTCCACTGGTCTATGCTGGTGGGTTAGAAAAAACGCAAACCTAGGTGTGAAAATGGACCAGGTTCATGCTTTCTTCGCACCAAGAAAATATGAATCTGGCGGTCAAAATGGCCAGGTTCATGCTTTCTTCGCCCCAAGAAAACATGAAACTGGTTGTCAAAATGGTCAGGTTCATGCTTTCTTAGCACCAACCGCGTGGGAATCAGAATTACACTTGGAATGGTAGAGTCAGAAATAGCTTCACACATTTGACTCCTGACTTGCAACTGGGACGCTGGGCCCAATACCCAGCTGGGGCAACTCCGCAGATGAGTAAATTAAAATAAAAATAAAAATAAAATAATAAAATAAAAACTCAGAGTGTGCTCACACATATAACACCACCAACTGACATGCCATTTCCAGTTTCAACCTCCAAAACCAACTAAACAAATTGGCCGATCCCAAAAAAAAAAAAAAAAAAAAAAAAACAACTACACAAATTGGCCAACCAAACAAACCACTGGCAGCCCGTTAACTCATTTCCTCACGTCTCCGTCATTGAGCAAGAAGCCGCCGATCATCCATATCCACAGAAGTTCCTCTCTCTCTCTCTCTCTCTCTCTCTCTCTCTCTCTC